ATTTCTTGAGCGCAAAATGCACGTTTTGAAATGCAAGGGCTGGAGGCTGGAGTGATAGCACAGCGGGTAGTAGGGTGTTTGCCTTGCACGCGGCCGACCCGGGTTCGATTCCCAGCATCCCATAGGGTCCCCCGAGCACTGCCAGGAGTGATTCCTGAGTGCATGAGCCAGGAATAATCCCTGGGCATCGCCAGGTGTGAACCAAAAAGCAAAATAAAATAAAATAAAATAAAATAAAATGCAAAGGCTGGAGATAGCACCACGGGGAGGGTGCTGGCCTTACACACGGCCGACCTGGGTTCGATCCCCGGCATCCCAAAGGGTCCCCCGAGTACTGCCAGGAGTGATTCCTGAGCACAGAGCCAGGCTTAAGGGGCCCTATGGGATGCCAGGAGTCAAACCTGGGTGGTTTGTGCTTGCAAGGCAAATGCCTTCTCCATTGTACCATCACTCCGGCTGGCCCTGGGAAAATTTTACGTACTTTTAGAATTCCTTACCGGTGCTTTCTTTCTTTCTTTTTTTTTTTTTCTGGTTGGGTTTTTTGTTTTGGGGCCAGGGATGCTCAGGGCTGACTCCTGGCTCTGCACTGAGGAATGACTCCTGGTAGTCTCAGAGGGACCCTACGAGATGCCGGGGATCAAACCTGGTTGACCACGTGCAAGGCGAATGTCCTCCCCACTGTCCGATCTATGCATTTTATTTATTTATTTATTTATTTAATGTATTGAATTGTTTGTTTGGGGCCACCCCTGGCGATGCTCAGGGGTTACTCCCGGCAGGCATGGGGGACCCTATGGGGTGCCAGGGATTGAACCGGGGTCCGCTGCATCCAAGGCCAACGCCCGACCCGCTATGCTGTCTCGCGTCTGCCACAGCTCTGTGCCCCTGTCTCAGCCACTCACTAGGTTTGGGGGCACAGCCCTGGAACCACTCACCCCACTTCTCACAGCATGGGCAAGCACGGCTCTGCCCAGGGGTCCCCCACTGCTCACGCCGCACCCTGCTTTCCCTCCCGTGGGTCTGGCCACCCCTCAGCACCACCGTGCCTTTTGGGTAAAGTTGGATGCCCGGGTGGGAATCCCAGGGCAGATGCTGTCCACCGCACAGCCAGAGGGAACCCCAAAGCCCAGCCCCGGCTTGGGCTATGCCCAGGGCTGCTCTGTGCTCATCAGTGACCCCTGGTGGTGCTCTGGGACCCCCTATGTGGTGCTGGGGAAGGAACCAGGGGCTGACCGCCTGAAAGGCGCCCTGCACCCTCTCTCTCCCCTCCAGTCATTATTCTGGAGGTTTGTGAGGTTTTGGGGTGTGCAGGAGAGTCACGGTTTTCCAGATGGGGATATTTGAGGGAAAACTCATGTTTCACTCACACTTACAGCAGAGGAGAGGTTCCTTCCCATTGCCCCCAGGAACATGCGGAGATGTCTGGCGACATCGGTGGTCGTCATGGCTGGGGAGGGGGCTGATGGCATGAGTGAGGGGGGCCAGGGGCACTGCTCCATGCCCCCCCAGGGTCCAGGATGACCCCCGCCCTAGAGAATGGCTTAACTCCAGGATCAAGAGGTGCTGAAGTGATAGCACAGTGGGGAGGGCGTTTGCCTTGCACGCGGCCAACCCGGGTTCGATTCCCAGCATCCCATAGGGTCCCCTGAGCACCGCCAGGAGTCATTCCTGAGTGCAGAGCCAGGAGGAACCCCTGTGCATCGCCAGGTATGATTAAAAAAAAATAAAAAATAAATAAAGAGGTAAAAAGTGGGGCCGGAGCAATAGGACAATGGGAAGGGCATTTGCCTGCACACGGCCAACCCAGGTTCGATCCCTGAGCACTGCCAGGTGTAATTCCAGAGTGCAGAGCCAGGAGTGACCTCCTGTGCGCCCCCGAGGGTGGACCCCCCAAAAAAAATAGAGTTGGAAAGCGTCAAGGTCCAGATGTCCAGGCAAGTGGGGAGACCCAGGGTAAGAGGGATTGTGAGTGGTGTTCCGGCAATTTTTCAGGTGTGGGGGGGGGGTTGTGCACTGTGGATCAGGACCAGGGGGCTAAGCACTAGGACACTAGGACGGGGGCGGATGGGGGTCACACACTCATACACTCATAGAGGAAAGAGGGTAGGAGGGGGTGGTGTGATGATGTGTCCTGCCTGTGTGGCTGAGAGTGACCACGTGGGGAGGGGAGCAGGGAAGGGGGGGTGGGGAAGCACGGGGCAGGAGGGGTAATCCTGGCGTCCTTCTGGAGGAAGTGACTTTGAGGTGACTATCGGAGAGGAGCACATGACTAAGGGAGCATGCGGGCGGGTGGAGTCTGTGGTGGAGTGTGTGTGTGTGTGTGTGTGTGTGTGTGTGTGTGTGTCTGTGTCTGTGTCTGTGTGAGAGAGAGAGAGAGACAGACAGGCTGCAAAGCCCATCCCCGGTGATCCGTGGTGTGGGGTGGCCACTGTTTACGTTGCAATTCTCTGGCGGGCTGCGTCGGAGCCCTGTGGTTGGGATGGTGGGCCTGGGTGGGATCCCGGGAGGTCTGGGAAGGACTCGTGGGGGGCTCCCCGACCCAGCCTTCAGCGGCCGTGCACACACGCTCTGTGCTCCGCAAGGCCAGTCTCCCAGCCACAGCGCCTGCTTGCTCAGTCCCCCTCTCTGAGGTTGGGGGGGAGGGGGCTGCCGATGGGCCTGGGGAAACTGAGGCTCAGAAGGAAACACACACCCCACCCCTCAACCCTTTCTCCTCCGAGGCTGGGCTGAGTCAGCCCCAAAGAACGGAGGAAACCGACCCCCCACCCCCCCCAAACCTCAGTGCGAAGGAGACGGCGCGGGGTGGGTGGGGACCCCAGTCTGCAGAGGGCTTGAAACCGCCTTCCCAGGCAGACCACCCACCGACTGGGGTCCAGCCCTCCTCCCAGGCGCGGCCTGGCCCTCTGGCGGTCACTTCCCACTTCTGCGCGCAGGGGGCGCCCCAGAGCAAGGGGCCCAGGGACTCGATTGTCCATCCCAGCCCCGCGCGGTCACTGCAGAGGTCAGTGGGGGGGGGTCAGTGTATACGGGGGTCCAGCAAGAGAGAGACCCCCGGACCGGAGTGCACGCGTGGGGAGGGGAGAGCTGGGCCGGGCCGGGTCTGTGCCTCTGTTGGGGCGGGTGGCCGGCCTCTGGTTTTGGGGGTGCCAGCCCCCCACTCGGGGCGCCCCACCCGAGTCCGTGGGACCTCCCAGCCCCCCTCCCTCGCCAGGAACCCGGCACCCCGCGCCGGCCCCGGGCCTGCCAAGCATCAAGGTGACACGGAACGAATCTAAACACCGCGCTGGGCCTTTTTTTTTTCTTTTTCTTTCTTTTTTTTTTCCAATCCACCGCCCGGGGGGGGGGGGGGGGGCTCGTCGTAAATCGCCCCTCGAACTCCGGCCAGAACTTTTATGGGTCCAAGCACCCGGGTCCCCAAGGGGGGACCGGGCTCTGCGCCAGCAGGCGCGGGTGGGACTGGCGGCTGCCCCAGACCTGGCCCCCCTGGCCCCCCCACCACCCCGGGGGGGAGACCGAGGCGCGCCTCTATTTTTAGCGGGTGAAAGCAGATAGCGCCTCTGGGTCCACGCTGGGGGGGTGACACCCGTCCGGCGAGGGCGCCTGGGGTCCCCCGAGGGACTCAAACCCCCAACCCCACTCCAGACTCAGGACCTGGGTCACCCCCGCTGCACTCCGCTCCCTCCAGACACCCCCTGCAGGGGACCTGGGTCAAGAGGATCCATCCGTCCCGACTTTCCTGGGTTCGGGACTGACTCCTGGCTCTGTGCTCAGGGGCCACTCCTGGCTGGGTTCTGGGGGGCCTTCCTTCAGGGGTATGGGGAATTGAACCCCGGTCAGCATGTGCAAGGCAAGTGCCCTCCCTGCTGGACTCCCACTTTATTTTTGGACGTTATGGGGGGGGGGGGACACCCAGCTGTGCTCAGGGTTGACTCCTGGCTCTGTGCTCAGGGGTCGCTTCCTGGCAGGCTCGGGGGACCCGATGGGATGCCAGGGATTGTACCAGGGTTGTCTGGGTGCAAGGAAAATGTCCCCCCCCCCCCGTGCTGTGCTCTCTCTCCGTCTCCCACTTTCCTTCCATACACAGATACTTTTTCGCACCCATTTCCCTTTGCTCCTTCCTCAGTGAACGGGATACGGACTGGGAGAGACAGAACCACTTGCTTTGCACGTGTCCCACCAGGATTCGACCCCCGACGTCCCATAGGGTCCCCCTGGAGCGCCACTAGGGCTGATGCCTGAGTTCTGAGCATCGCTGGGTGTGACCGAAAAGCAAGAAAACAAACAAAAACCCCATTTCTTTATTTTTTTTTCTTTTTGGGTCACACCCGGCAATGCACAGGGGTCACTCCTGACTCTGCACTCAGGAGTTACTCCTGGCGGTGCTCGGGGGACCACATGGGATGCTGGGATTCGAACCCAGGTCGGCCGCGTGCAAGGCAAACGCCCTCCCTGCTGTGCTATCGCTCCAGCCCCCCAAACCCCAATTTCTTATTTGGTTTTGGGGGTCACACCTGCAATGCTCATCGGGTTTTCCTCCGGACTCTGCACGCTGGAACCACTCCAGGCGGTGCGCCGGGGATGCCAGGCTTGGGGCCTGAGTTGGCCGTGGGCGAGGCAAACGCCCTCCCCGCTGCTCGACTGCACGGGCCCCTGCACAAACGGGGTCTCCGTGCTCATGGTGTTCACTGTGTTCGTCGCAGGCTCACACCCCGCGATGCTCAGGGAGGTCCTGGTCCTGCTCCAAGGCCACCCCGATGGGATGCGACCTGGGGGTGCAACCCGCGTCGGCTGGTGCAGAGCGAGCGGCGCCCTGCCCGACTCCCCCTCCTCGACCCGGGGGTCGGTCGCATCTCTGCTCCGCCAGCTCCCCCCGCCCGCGCCCTCCCCCCGGGGTGCAGTGCACCGCGGCAGAATGAGACGCCGGGAGCCGGATTTCGCACACTTTATGTCTCGTGCACCAGGACAGTCCGTCGGGGGGTGGGTGGGTGGGCGGGTGGGCGTCACACGCAGGCGCACTCGCGCGCCGACAGCTGGCGCACCGTGTGGTAGCGGCTGTGCACGTCCAGGAAGGACACGTCGTCCTCGTAGGCCGTCGGGCGGCAGCAGGGCTGCGCGCGCACGCGCTCGCGCCCGCGCACGCGCCGCCGCTGGCGCAGGCGCCGCAGGCCCAGGTCGTAGAGGCGCGCGGCCGCGTCGCACGCGCCTGCGCAGTAGCGGAACAGGACCGTCTCCTCCGAGGCGTAGCCCAGGCCCAGCTCGCTCACGCGCACCTCGAGCTCGCGCAGCCCGCACGGCCGCGCGCCCGCCCGCGCGCGCGCGCGCCGCCGCCGCGGCCCCGCCCCCGCCCCGGCCCGACGGCGCGGCCCCGACGGGCGCGCGGCCCAGGGCGTCAGCTGGCGCAGCTCCACGGCGTCCGGGGCTCCCTGCAGCAGCGCGCGATCTGCAACGGGGGGGGGGGGGAAACCGAGGCACGGTGAGTGATAATCAGGGGTGGGTGGGGGAGAAGTGAGACGCGACGGAAAATCTGGAGGGGGGCGCACGCGCACCCCCCCCCACCCAGCCCAGCCCAACCCACCTCCTCTCTGGGCCCGCCTTGCCCTGGCCTTGGTGGACGGACGGGGCGTCTGACACTCCTGGACCACCCCCTCCCTTTTTTTTCTTTTCCCCCCTTTTTGGTTTTGGGGCCACACCCCCCAGCAGTGCTCAGGGATCACTCCTGGAGGTGCTCCAAGGGACCCCATGGGATGCGCGGTGTCGAGCCCAGAGTGGCTGCGTGCAAGGCAAATTCCACACCTGCTGTACGATGGTGCCAGCGCCCTCCCTTCTTTAAAGATTTTTTGGGCCTAGGGGCTGGAGAGAGAGCACAGCGGGGAGGGCGTTGGCCTTGCAGGCGGCCGACCAGGGTTCGATCCCCAGCATCCCATAGGGTCCCCCGAGCACCGCCAGGAATAACTCCTGAGTGCAGAGCCAGGAGGAACCCCTGTGCATCACCAGGTGTGACTGAAAAAGCAAAAAAATAAAAAAAATAAAAATAAAAAAATTCTATGGGCCTCACCAATGATACTCAGAGGTTACTCCTGGCTCTGTGCTCAAGAATTACTCTTGGTGGTTCCGGGGATCCAATGGGATGCGGGGATCAAACCCAGATTGGCTGCATGTAAGGCAAACTCCCTACCACTCTGGCCCAAGACCTCTTTTTATTTTATTTATTTATTTATTTATTTATTGCTTTTTGGGTCACACCCGGCGATACTCAGGGGTTACTCCTGGCTCATGCACTCAGGAATTGCTCCTGGCGGTGCTCGGGGGACCCTATGAGATGCTGGGAATTGAACTCGGATCGGCCATGTTGGCTGTGTGCAAGGCAAATGCCCTACCTGCTGTGCTATCGCTCCAGCCCCAACCTCTTTTTATTTTAATTTAAAAGCTATTTTAAATTATTTGGGGGTACACCTGGCCGTGCTCCTCCTGGCTCTGCACTCAGGGATCACTCCTGGCGGTGTCCAGCAGACCCTCTGGGATGCCAGGGACCGAACCCCAGTGGGCCGCATGCAAGGCAAATACCTTCCCAGCTCCAGCCCTGGACCTCATGTCATCTCATGCGCCAGTCCAGGCTCTGTGGGGGTGAGGGGAGATGCAACGCCACCCTTCGATGAGCTGCTCTGCCCCTGTGCTTTTGGGGTGCCGGGTGGCTGCTATCCAGCCCGGACCGCTTTGAGCTGAGTTGAGGACGGAGTTCACCTCTCTGGTCCTCTCCTGGGCAGGGCTGGGCTCTCCTTTGAACTGAGCTGACCCCACCTTTCCGCCTCTCTCTCTCTTTTGCTTTTTTTTTTAAGAAATTTTATTTATTTTTATTTATTAATTTATTTTCCTTTTTGGGTCACACCCGGCGATGCACAGGGGTTACTCCTGGCTCTGCGCTCAGGAATCACTCCTGGCGGTGCTCGGGGGACCGACCATATGGGATGCTGGGAATCGAACCCAGGTCGGCCGCGTGCAAGGCAAACGCCCTCCCCACTGTGCTATCGCTCTGACCCCTGATTCCATCTCCTAAGGGAAACGAACAGGGGACACCCCACGAGGCCCCCAGCTGCTCCCAGTCCCAGACACCCCCTCTCCCTCTTGGAGGCCAGTCGGGAGTCGCTGCCCTTGCGTGTCACCCACACTTGGGGGGCCCTCCCCCAGAAGAGGAGAGGGTTCCTCCCGCCCCCCATATTCAAAGACTTGTAGGTGGCCTCTGCTTGCCCTGTGCAGAAGCGCCGGTGCCCCCCAACTCCCCTGCTCTCTGCCAGTAGGCCTGGGGCAATGGGCAAGGGGCACCCCCCCCACCCCCGGGAAGGCGGGTCCTGGGGGAGAGTGGGACGCGCGGCCCCTTTGGACGTCTCCGAGGCAGAGGAACTGCAGACCCTTGAGGCCTGGGTGGGGATTCCCGCTGGTGCCAGGGCCACCCCCCTATTACAAAGCAGGAAACTGGGCACCCCAAAAAAGGCCACAAGCGCGCCCCAGGGCACACCATTAGCAGGTGGCAGAGAGGAGCCTCAAACAAGCCTCGGCGGGATCCTTCCTCCCGCCCCCTCCGAACACCCCAATTTGGCGCCGGTCCAGACCTCAGGCTGCTTGTGCGCGCACCGCTCCCCCCCCCACACCCCTTCCTCCCGAGCCTCAATTGATTTCCTGAGCTGCCTGGCCCTGCCCTGCTCCCTAGCAACGGGCAAGTGGGGGAGGCACCGGGTACCCCACCCGGGCAGGCTGGGGGGGCAGGGAGGAGAGGAAACCCTGCCTTCAGCGCCGGCTCCCCGCGAGGCACGCGCACCTGGCCGTCAAAATAAATAAATAAGCAAAAGAAAATAAACAGTTTCGAGCCAGAGCGATGATAGTACAGCCGGTGAGGGCGTTTGCCTTGCACGCGGCCGGCCGACCCGGGTTCGAGTCCCAGCCTCCCATAGGGTTCCCCCCCCCACCCCCGGAGCACCGCCAGGAGTTATTCCTGAGTGTGGGTCCAGGAGGAACCCCAGTGCATCGCTGGGTGTGACCTAAAAATCAAAAAATAAAATAAATAAATAAATAAATAAAGCAAGCTTGCCCTCTGGGAAATTTTGTATATAGAATTGGGGGAAGTGGTTTTCAGATGAAATTTTTTTTCCTTCTTTTTTTTGGGGGGTGTCACACCCAGTGATGCTCAGGGGTTACTCCTGGCTCTGCACTCAGGAATTACCCCTGGCGGTGCTTGGGGGACCCTATGGGATGCCGGGGATCGAACCCGGGTCGGCCACGTGCAAGGCAAACGCCCTACCTGCTGTGCTATCTCTCTGGCCCCGAAACATGAATTTCAGATGTAAGAAAAAAAAAAGTGAGAGGCTGGAGGGATGATAGCACAGCAGGTAGGGCGTTTGCCTTGCACATGGTCGACCCGGGTTCGATTCCCAGTTCCCAGCATCCCATGTGGTCCCCCGAGCACCGCCAGCAGTGATTCCTGAGTGCAGAGCCAGGAGTAACCCCTGTGCAATGCCGGGTGTGACCCAAAAACTGAAAAAAAAAAGGTGAGGGGGGCTGGATGATAGGACAGCCCACGGGGGGGGGGGTTGCTTTGCATGTGGCCCACCTGGGTTCAATCGCAGGCATCCCATAGGGTCCCCTGAACACCGCCAGGAGTGATTCCTGAGTGCAGAGGCAGGAGGAGGAACTCCTGGACATCGCTGAGTGTGGCCCTAAAGCTTCCCCCCCCCAAAAAAAAACAAATGGGGGCCAGAGCACGAGTGTGGCAGTGCAGGTGTTTGTTGGAATGCGCTGACCCGGGTTCTGTGCCCGGCACCCTGAGCCTTGCCAGGAATAATCTCCGAGCGCAGCGCCAGGAATAAGCCTCCAGCACCTCTGGGTGTGGCCCCAGAGCCAACGCAAAAACAGAAGTCAGCGTTAGGGTGGTGGTGGTTGGGAGGGGTCTTGGGAGTGGGGAGAGCAGAGAGCGGAGGGCCCTCCCGGGACGGGGCGCGCCGTTGGAAGGAGGGCACGTGAAAACGGTGACTGGGCTTGCTTTAAATCCCGGGGCCTCAATAAAAACGGTGAAGAAAAGTCCTTTTAGAGGGAAAAAAAGGGCTGGAGCGACGGCACAGCGGGGAGGGCGTTTGCCTTGCACGCGGCCCACCCAGGTTCGATTCCCAGCATCCCATTGGGTCCCCCGAGCACCGCCTGGAGTCATTCCTGAGTGCAGAGCCAGGAGGAACCCCTGAGCATCGCTGGGTGTGACCCACCCTCCGAAAAAAAAAAAAGGAAAAAAAAAAGCGAATGGAAGGGGTAGGGGTGGCGGGAGGAATAGGAGGAACAGTGGTGGTGGAGAATGGACACTGGTGGAGGGATGGGTTCTCGCACATTGTATGACTGAAACCTAATTATAAAAGTTTGTACGTCTGGGGGCTGGAGCCATAGCACAGCGGGTAGGGCGTTTGCCTTGCATGCGACCGACCGGGGTTCGATTCCCAGCATCCCATTGGGTCCCCCGAGCACCGCCAGGAATCATTCCTGAGTGCAGAGCCAGGAGGAACCCCTGAGCATCGCTGGGTGTGACCCAAAAAGCATAAAAAAAAAACTGGTAACAGATCTGAGCTGGAGTGATAGCACATAGCACCACAGCACAGCGGGTAGGGTGTCTGCCTTGCACGCGGCCAACCCAGGTTCGATTCCCAGCATCCCACAGGGTCCCCCGAGCACCGCCAGGACTAACTCCCGAGTGTATGAACCAAGAGTAACCCCTGTGCATCACCGGGTGTGACCCAAAAAGCCCAAAAAAAAAAAAAAAAGAAAAGTTTGTAAGTCTGTAAAAAAAAAAAATCTAAAAAAAAAATTAAAAAAAAAACCAATGATGTTTAGGCCTCGCGGACGTTTTCCCAGAGGACAAAAGCAAGGAAATTTCCCCGCACGCACGCACGCACAGCTGCCGTCCAACGTTCCTCTCTGGGCTTTTGGGGGTGCGGGCGCGGGGGTTCCGGGGACACTCCCTTTCCGGGGTAGGGCTGGGCAGGCTGCCGCCCCGGGGGGCCAGACCTTCCACCGCCCGCGTGTGCTGTGCGCCCCGGGATCCTGGGGCGCGCTGGTGGGGCGCCCCCGTGTCCTGGGACGGGAGGGGGAGCGGGGCGGGGGGCAGGGGGGTCGGAACTGGAGCCCGGGGCCGCCCTTGTTCATTGTGAAGCCGCCGCGAGGAGGGAACTGTGCGGGCCGGCAGGGCGGGCGCCAGCCTGCACACAGGCCTGGACGCGGCCCCCGGTTTCCGCGGACGCCCGGCACGCGCCCCGCCCGCGCCAAGCACCCCAGCCGCGCGCGCGCGCGCCCACGGGGGCCCCACACGGCGGCGCCCGCCGGGGCCGGGGTGCGGGGTGGCCGCGCCCCCAGTGGGCGTGGAAAAGTCGCCTCCGCACCTTCCCTGTCCCGCTTGGGTCCCGCCCTTCGATCTCCCCATCGGCTCCTCTGCGCGTCTCCGGGTGCCGGGCCACCCCCGTCCCCTGCCCAGAGCAGGCCACTCGCCCGGAGCCTTCGCCCCTGCCCCCACCTCCCCCCGCTGCGCCGCAGGGGCCCGCCCGGGCCCTGGGCCCACGTCTAATCTCCATCTGGCCCCCTGACCCGCAGCGCCGGACACTAATTCTTCCTGACAGCTGAGCTGCGCGGGACCCGCTTCCCAGCACTCGCTCCGCTGGCCGCCTCGGCCAGGCTCTGGGGGGCATCTGTGACCTCCTCGGACCCCGGCTAAGAAAAGCTTCCCCTGCCCCCTTGCAGCCGCCCCCTCCCCCAGGCCCTCCGGCCAGAAATTCCACCGTGCTGGCCAGCTCCGGAGGGAGGGATGGACGGACGGACGTCGGGGAGGGGATGGACCCGGGCGCGCGGGCGCGGGGCTTACACTGGGCCAGGCGCGCGATGCGGGCGTCCAGGGTGCGGGGCGGCCGGCGCAGGGGGGCCAGCGCGGGGCCCAGGCGGTGGCCGAGGAACAGGCCGTCCCGGCACATCCAGAGGGACAGCATGGAGCTACACAGCACCGACGCCACGGCCGCCGCCTTCCAACGAAGCATCCTCGGCCTGTGGGTGCGCGATGGTCAGCCACGTGGCCCGCGGCCCTCGGGGGTCCACCGGGCAGCAAACGGGCAGAGGGGTGCTGGGCCAGGCACGGGGGACGCAGCCGAGCCCCCAGCGTTTGGGACCACTCCTCAGAGACCGGTTTGGACGGAGACATCCTTCGCCAAGGAGCGGCGGAGAAGACCGTGCCGGAGGCTGACCAGTGGGGAGCGGGCGCTGGGCCGGGGGGGACAGGAAAGCGGCCCCATCTGGGGGTCCCAGAGCGCTTTCCTGAGCGTGGGGTGGGGGGCAGCCGGGGCTTGAAGAAAGGCCGTCGATCAGGCGGGCGGAGGAGAGAAGCGCCTTCCGGAGGGGAGTGGGGCGGCCAGTGCAAAGGGGCTGAGGTCGAAGCGGGCTTGGCCACTGCGTCTGGACGGGGCTGGGGGAGAGAGAGAGAGGAGAGAGGCGGTTAGGCCACCCCAGCAGGGGGCAGCGTGGCCCCAGGGTGGCCAGGAGAGCCGGGGCTGGGAGGGAGGCGGGAGCGTTGGACTTGCTCCGCGCCAATAGCCTCCCTTGGGAGTGACTTCCTCCACACCCCCCAAGAAGAAGTCCGACTTTCACCTCCAAACAAGACAATGCGGACCGAGTGGGCAGCGCCCGGCCAAAGCTGCCTCGGGCCCGTGGACACACGCGCGCTCGTCCACCCACGAGACGTCCTCCCCCGCGCCCATCTGCCTTTCCGCCTGACGCCTCCTCCAGGAAGCTTTCCCGGACTGCCTCCCCGCCCCCACGGTCCAGGGGCGCGCGCGGCGGCCTTCCTCCCCCCCGGGCCTCCCGGGTGCCAAGAGGGTTCCCCCACCCCACCCCACCCCACCCCCGCCCCGCAGGCCCCGTGACTCCCTGCGGCCCTTCGCGACACTGGGCGGACCCCGGCCGGGTTTACATTCCCGGGCCGCCGGGTGTCGGCCGCGCGGGGCTGGCGGCCGGCCCGGCGTAAACATTTACACGGAGCGCCGAGCGCCGCGCTGGACGCCGGTCAGTGCCCGGCCGGCCCGCGGCCCCGTGCGCTCCGCCGCGCGCAGTGCGAGCCGCTGCTTTGCGTGCGGTTCGCGTCTCATTTGCGTGGACCTGGCCCGTGGGTGGCGACGCTTTGGGGTGGGGAGCGATCGCCCTTCCCCTTCCCTGGGCCCCCAGCGACGTCGTGGGGGCACGAAGTAGAACCCACGGCCCTCGGGGTCGTAACGAGGGGCAGGGACGTTGCATTGAACGCCTGCCACGCACAAGACCCAGCTTGATGAGTCCGTGAGACTCCAACCCCGGCAATCTTTAATTTTTATTTATTGATTTATTTATTTTTGCTTTTTGGGTCACACCCGGCGATGCACAGGGGTTCCTCTTGGCTCTGCACTCAGGAGTCACCCCTGGCGGTGCTCAGGGGACCCTATGGGATGCTGGGGATCGAACCCGGGTCGGCCACGTGCAAGGCAAACGCCCTACCCGCTGTGCTATCGCTCCAGCCCCCTATTTTTTAATTTATTTCTTTTTCCTCTTTTCGGGTCACTCCGGGCGATGCTCAGGGGTTCCTCCTGGCTCTGCACTCAGGAATCATTCCTGGTGGTACTCAGGGGCCCATATGGGATGCCGGAGATCGAACCCCAGGTCAGCCGCATACAAGGCAAGAGTCCTACCCACTGTACTATCTCTCTGGCCACTGTCACACTCAGAAATGCTCAGGGGTTCCTCCTGGCTCTGTACTCAGGAATCACTCCTGGCGGTGCTCAGGGGACCATATGGGATGCTGGGGATCGAACCCAGGTCGGCTGCAGGCAAGGCAAACGCCCGACCCGCTGGGCTGTCGCCTGCCCTCCTCCCTCCCCTCCCCCAGCAGCCGTTTTAGAGCTGGGGAGAGCAGGTCACAAAACTCTGAGGTGCTGGGGTCCACGGGACCAAACATCGAAACTGGGGTTCCATGACACAACCTCCTCCCACCCCCCCCACACACAGAGGAATGGCCGTATGGGGGTGCACGGGGTGGCATTGCCCTACTGGCGGACAGACAATGCCGTTACTGCGGGCACTTGCTTGGGCAGCGGTGGTCAGTCCAGGGAATGAGCTCCCCGAACACGGCGGCCCATGAGGACCTCCTAAACTAGCCTAAAGGGGAGAGTGACTCCGGCTCCAGTGCTTGCTAGACAACCGTCGGATGAATGGCGGCATGAACGAGGAATTAAAAGAAGGGATTCGATGGGGCCAGAGTGATAGCACAGCGGGGAGGAGGGTGTTTGCTTTGCACACAGCCGACCTGGGTTCGATCCCCGGCATCCCATAGGGTCCCCCGAGCACTGCCAGGAGTCATTCCTGAGTGCAGAGCCAGGAATAACCCCTGAGCATCTCTGGGTGTGACCCAAAAAGAAAATAAATAAATAAATAAAGGTATTAGAAGACTGACCCAGTCTTGGGGGTGGGGGTGGGGGAGCAGGATTTCAGAGACTGTATCCGGCCACCCACCCCAGCCCTTCTCCGCAGCCCCTCACCCTCGTTCTCTGACTTGACTGCCGGGGCCGGAGCGATAGTCCAGTGGGGAGGGCACCTGCCTTGCATCTGACACGCACCCAGGTTCTATCCCCAGCACCCCAAAGGGTCCCCTGAGCTCAGCCAGAAGTGACCCCTGAGTGCAGAGCCAGGAGTCAGCCCCAAGCACTGCTGGGAATGGCCCCAACCCCCCCCCCCCCCAATAACCCAAACTACTCCCCCCCAACTCGGAACATATATACAAAATTGACTAACCATAGGCCATACTGAGTAATGAAACCCAGAAATTCAAACTACGCACACTCAGCGATGCTCAGGGCTCCGTGCTCAGGATCACTCCCGACCATGTGGGGTGGAGACCTTGTGGGGCGCCTGGGATCGAACTTGGGTCGGCAGCATGCAAGGCGAGTCCCCCTCCCCGCTGTCTCTCTGTCCTCCCATCGCTCGATTTTCTCCCTCCCCTAGACCCACCGAGGCAATCCTCTGGCACTGTGGGGAAACCAGTGCTCTCCATGCAGTGCTCAGGAACTCTTGAGGCCCTACTGGCAATTCTCAGCTAACCGGGCCAGTGGCTCCATGTAAGGGCTGGAGTCTGGGGAGCTACTTGGTTTTCAGCTGAGCCGGGGACCACTCAGGCCTCCCTGGCAGTGCTCGGGAGGGAGGTCTCGGGCAGGGCGATACTCGGAGACACACAGGGGATGCAGTTCCAGGAATCGAACTGGAGTGTCTGTCAGGCAGGAGCCCTCACCGCTGTGCCACTCCCCAATCTTCATTCCGCTGGTTTTTACTAAGAGTCTAGAACGTGCCATGACTCAAAGACACCCTCGGGGATCAAGGAGCACCCCGTTCACCTGGGGGAGAGACAGGTCATATGCAAACGCTTTAAGGGAAATGACTTCAGACTCCGGTCGAGAAATCGTGCAAGGCCACGGTGCTTGTCTGGCACGTGGCTGGCGCTAGTTCCAAGCCCATCACCGCCGAGGGTCCTCGGGGAGCATCAGGAGTGATCCCTGAGCACAGAGAGAGCCAGGAATAGGACCCGAAGCACTGTGAGGTGTAGCCCACAGACCCACCACTGTCCTCTCTCTCTCTCTCCAACCCACAGGGAGGCCACCTAGAGGAAGCAGTGAACCAGCTAAGACCCACCTCCCCGCAAGAGACACAGACCACAGAATAATATGGGGGCCAGTGGCCCAGGCAGCGGGTTTAGCATGTGCGAAGGACCTGGGGCAGGTGGGGAGTAGTGGGGCTGGAGCAGCGGGAGGAGGGGAGGGAGGGAGGGAGGAAGGGACGGTGGGGATGAGATGAGGTCAGCCTGTTCCAGGAGGAACATTTCATTCTGACTGTCCATTGCATCTGGCCAGTGCCCAAACACACGTTCCTCCTCCCCCTCCTCCAGATTCATTAGAGGGACCACCCCTGGCTCTGCACACAAGCATCGCTCCTGATAGTGTTTGGGGGGACCCTATGCCGAGGATCGAACCCGGGTCGGCTGCGTGCAAGGCAAACGCCCTCCTATTGCCCTGGCCCTGCCCCCCCACACACACCGCCTGCCCCGTCCACTTTCACACAGGGGGTCCCACAGCTGTGACAGCTGGCCTGCTAGAAGTCACAGAACTATGCCCTTGAACTCTGGGAGACCCACGCCCAGGAGCGGAACCCTTCCAGGGCACCCCCAAAACCTCAGGTTAGGCAAGGCCTTCTCCGGAATCCCCACCCCATGCCTTGGCCTGGCGTGCCTCGGTTTCCCTGTTTGCTCAATACCAGATCCCAGCGGCCCCCACTGTGACTGTTCCTGTAACGGGCTTTCTGGGAGACGGGACCCCCACGGAGAGGGTGGACGAGGTGCAGGGACGCCGGTGGCCTTGGGGCCCCAGACCCCCCGGAGCTGGGCTGTGGGGCCGAGCGTGCACCGAGGGGCCTCGCAGGCGCGGCTGATAAGCCCGCGTGAACAAAGGCCCTTTCTGTATGGGGGTCACCCAACTGGTTTGTCTCTGGCACGGACCTGGCCGGGACTGTGTGTGTGTGTGTGTGGGAGGGGGGGACGCGGGCGTGGCAGAGGGCCAGGGGTGCGCCACCAGGACGCCTGCTGCTGTGGGGGTGCCCTCAGACAAGGGAGGTGGGGGACTCCCCCTCCAGCACAATCCGGGGCACGCTTCCCGTCCCCCCAACGCGCATGCGCGCACTGACATCCAAGCGCGGGGGTACCCAGGGGCAGGCCACAGGCACATCCCCTTTGCACGCATGCCCCCCACTCTCCCACGCACCAAGTTCAGCCCCTGGTGCCTGCTCATTCGTCCCAACGCTGCACGCTCTGCTACCCACACTCCAACCCAAGGCCGCGTCCCCGCACGGTGTCCCCGGGTGGCGGCACCTGTGCGCTCCCCTGTGGGCACAGACCAGGGCGGGGGCGAACACCTGCTTCCCTGCATAAGGCACTTTTTTTTTTTCCTTTTGGGTCACACCCAGCGATGCACTGGGGTTCCTCCTGGCTCTGCTCTCCGGAATTACTCCTGGCGGTGCTCAGGGGACCATACGGGATGCCGGGAATCGAACTCGGGTCGGCCGCGTGCAAGGCGAACGCCCTCCCCGGCCCAGCATACAGCACTCTGGGGACATGCCAGGGGCGGGGTGCCGAGACTCTGGGGAGAGAGTGGGTGCAAAAGGGGCAGGGGCAGAGGCTGGGGCCAGAGCCATAGGACAGCGGGGAGGGCGCTGGCCTGGCATGCGGCCGTGATCCAGGTTCGATCCTCGGCATCCCGCAGGGTCCTC